TCCAACTAGATTCTGTCCCATTAACTGTTGGATGCCAAGACAGGGCATTACGTTAACTGGAACTAAGACAGCAAACCCAGAAGCATGTTTGCTTTGAAGGACAGTATTTCTGCTGTTGGAAAAGATAGTCACTATTTTTATAGATGACCACTTTTTTTCACGTCACAATGTGTCATTTTGAGTGTACCAAAGGAGGTGATACTTGTGACTGCTTTTATTTCTCTTAACACCAACAAAGCCTGAGCCTGAGTGTGCTGGTGTCAGTGCCTTCCCCAGAACCATTGCACCCCTCACAATCTAGACAAGTCGACGGAAGACAACTACAGATTACAGAAGTTATTGATCACATTTCCAAGTAAAATTTTAAAGCCATCAATCAGAGAATTAAAATAATTATGGGTATGTCTTATACAAAATCCAAAATTAACTGTGTGAAGACTCACTGATTGTGCAGTTCCACCATCAGAGACTCATTAATGATTCAGAGATGAATAATGCATTAATATAACTGCTTCTTTATGTATATATTTTAGTGCATATTTTTTTCATGACACATTTTCTTACTCTGGACTTTTAACATAAAATCATTGGAAAGTTGTCTCCTAATGGCATTTATCTGTTCATAACATGCAATCTATAGCTTTGTTGGCCCCTGATACTAGCTTTTTTAAAAATAAGTTACCTACAGGGCAAGCATATTGTGGAAAAAAGTTGAAATAAGACTGTGGATATAATGGTTACGGCAAATAAAACAAGGATGCATTTTTCAGCTGCTACTGATGAGGCCATTTTATTAGCCATTTTATGACACTGTTGCACTAATACAAAGACTAGGAGACTATAGGGAGGCTAAACAGAAGAGAATTAATTGTTGTGTTTTAATTTTCTGCCATTAAATCCATTCTGTTTGTACAGGAAAGCAGAATTTATGCTGTAGCCAAATCTGGTTTAAGGATGTCTGAAGCTTTCACCATGGAATCTCTTAATAAAAGTAAGTAGTTTAGCTGTTCATTCATGAACAAAAATTCTCTTCTTGGGGCGATTTGTAAGCAAGGATCAAATGTCTCATAGTCCTCTAAGATATTTTTATGAAGTTTCAGTTATCTTCTTTTGAAAACCTGGAAGGACTTTGGTTACCTTTCCACTGTCTTCTGTGAACTTGACTTGTGGCTTTGTGCTGAATTTGTACTTTGTTCACTCCCATTTTCTTTGCAATTCATTTTGATGATTCTATACCAAGTACCAAAGTAAGAAATGATACTTGCCTTTTAAAAAGGGTTAGTGGTCATGAGTACAATTTATACTGCTTAAAACCACTGTAAATTTAAAAAAAGCTGGAAGTCTTATATCCAAAACAGTTCAGGAGTTAGTTTGCTTTTTATAGCAGTTAAACAAAAAAAAAATAAAATTCTATTTGGTTAATTGAGGGGTAAATTAGGAAGGTAATTTATAAAATGTTGCTTTTTTAGGTGCTGTTTCACTACCTTCGTATTCCATATCCGGATTATATACATCTCTGCTATATAAGAACATGACCACTCCTGTGTACACCACTTTGAAAGGGGTAACTGTATTACTGTTTAAAGGCAAATCTAAATACCATTAGGCTTCACATCCAGGAATTTGCTGTTTCACATTTGATGCTGCCATGCCAAATATGTCATAAGATGATGTTTAGAGATCACAGAATCCCAGAAGTAATGGAAATGTCAAATAGCTGGAAAAAAAAATTACTTCTGCTTATAAAATGTTACCATCCCAGGTCAGTTCTTCTTAGGTTCCTTGCTGTTTTTTCCCAAAGGCTTGTTAATTATTAAACAGAGCCACATGGTGTTCAATGCCGTAATTAAAAGTGTATGTATGTGTAGAAATGTCTTTGTGTCAATGCCAAAGCTGTTTATAGTCAGATAGCCAGCAGTAATTAATCACAGAATTGTTTGTTTTCTGGCAGCCTTTTATGATTTGGAAAGAGCCGTGCTTTGAGCCACCTCAGGTTTCTGTTTTAAAGTGTGGGGGTGGTTGAGGATACAGAGGGAATTCAGTTTTATGTTAGTATTGGTGTGCCAAAATGCCAAACCCAAGGAAGAAGAGCTTTGAACGTTAGGAAGCCAACAGAGCTCTGCCATATGAAGGAAATGACTGGTATTATGCAGGGTATCAAAGAACATTGTGTTGGTTTCTGCAGAAAGCAACTCAAATAAGCAACAGCCCCTTTGTGGATGAGTCGTCAGGGTCGGAGGAGGAAGACAGCTCGCGGTCCAGCTCCAGGACTTCGGAGTCTGATTCTCGAAGCAGGAGTGGCCCAGGCAGTCCTCGGGCTATGAAACGAGGTAGGCAAAATAACAACAAGTAACCTCTGGGAAGCCTGGAAAACTAGGCAGTTTACATGATCTTCTTAGAAACAGATTTCTTCCCTAAACATCATCGACATCTTCAGTCTAGGCTTTTGTCTCAGCCGTCAAAGCCTAGATCTGCTGTTAAAGCAGAGGAGAGGACTGTTATACGTGGCTTTATTGCCCTTATTACAGATGTCTTTTTAAGGCATTAATCTAGTAGCTGGCTGTGGTTGTGAGGGAAAAGTGACTTGTACATTTAAAGCAAGAAGTGCCATTCTATCTATATTCTGTCATGCCAGGGACTTGCTACAACCATTAACTGTAGGCAGGTAAAAATGATGTAGAAAAAAAATAGTTGCCATCCAGAAAAAAACTTGCATATGTTCAAGTTTATAAAACAAAGTAGCAGTTTCATGTGACCAGAAAGCAGGTGGAAAAGCTCCCTCAACACAGTATCTGGTTCTGTCATTTTGTGCATTCTTTTGTGCATTTGACTTTCTTTCATTTTTACAGTGATTGTCTCAAGGTCCTGTGCAAAGATTTAAGTTAAAACACTTGAATCCAGTAATGTTCTGTCTTTTGTGGAAGACAGATCTCACAGCTGTAGGTAATCTCTGTTTTCCAGCTGCAGAATGAAAACAACATGCTTCACAACATTGAAAGATATGCTGCTTCCTCAAGGGGTGACAGTATCAGTGTTAGTGTACCCCTGCAAGTATTTCTTCACTGAGTAAACCAAGGAATGCTAAGATCCCAGTGAGACCAAGTCTTAAGATCCCTCATTAAACATTGCTTTAGAAATGCAAAATGACATTGCCCAGTAGTTTGTTATACATGTTAATATCCCAGTTAGCAGGAGTTCTGCTCTGATACACCTGAGCAGGTTGGAGGAGCCACTGGTCCATCAGTTTTCCAGTGCCAGCCACACCTGGTGTTGAGTCCTGGTTCCAGGGATGTAGTTACAGTTTTGCTACATTAGTGTGGAAAGGACCCATAGCTCCTGCTTCCCAGCAGCTCCATCCTGCTGAGCAAAACCCAGTGCCATGGCAGCAGAGGCATCTCATGTGACATGCACATCAGGAAGTGTAAATTAGCTGATTTAGTAGCTGGTTTTGTCCACAGTTTATGTCTGTAAAACAGAAGCACTCCTTTTGTTGATGCTTTCTTCTCATGAAATAGTCCTTGCATTGTTTCATGCATGGAAACCCTTCCTAACAAAAAATTACACAGGTACCTAGCTGTTGAAATCACATTGTTTAAAAATTTAGGCAGTCACAAATTACACTAGTTGCATAATTAGCTTGCTGCATATTTGTTATTATAGATTCTACATTAGAAAAGAAGCAGGGACTCTGAAAGCCCAGGTGGCCTACCAAAGCAGTAGCTGAGAAGAGCTCTTTTTTAAAAAAATAATTTGCAAATGAGTTTGGAAACTAATGTAACAAAGGAAACAAGAAATCTTCATTTCAATCTCAGAGAGTAACCTTTCAAAGAACAGTAGTCCTTACAAAAGGATGTTCACATGTTTGAAAATAATTGTTTCTATGATGACTAAGGGAGGAGTTTTAATTTTTATTGGTGATTACAGTTGAAAACAAGGTGCTTTTTTTTAAACAAACTCAAAAGATTTTGTTACAAAGCCACAGTATAAAAATTCATACTAATTGCAAAATAAAGACAGCCACCTACAAATTCAACTTACAACAGATCTTGAGCATAGCTTCTTAGTACACAAAGAGCTGGATGAGAAATCTAGATGCTAGAGCAGATGGTAGAAAGGGAAGGGGAAAATTGCTTAGTTTAATTAAAGATCCTGTATTTTTTTTTTTAGAGAATGAGTATGATGCATGGCACAAAATCCCTCCTTAAAAACACTGTAGTAATATAACATATAGAAAAGTACTTATTTGCTGTTTTGTTCACAAGTGAGTTGAGTTTTATGCAGAAAAAGGGAGTCAGGTATTAGCACTGTGCTAACAGTTTGATATGCTGATATTTTAAAAAATGCTTAGTTCCTGATGGATTTGTACTGATACTTGTGTTTGCCTGCAGATCCTACTCAAGTATTCTTTCTGCATTGATACTCAGATCTCCTTTGTTTCTAATGTAATTAAAAAAAAACACAAAGAAACACCTTTCTTCATTTAATGCAGGTGTGTCTCTGTCTTCTGTGACCTCAGAAAGTGACTATGCTATTCCTCCAGATGCATATTCAGTAGATACAGACTGTTCAGAGCCAGAACAGAAGCTTCCTAAGACCTCTTCCTCATCTAGTGATAATGGAAAAAACGTGAGTACTGAAGTTGTGTGAGGAGGTGTACCTCTGGTGCTGGGTCTATATTGTGTTCAAAGACTGCTACTAAATCTGTGTATTCATTCTGGCTGTCTCACAGACTGCCTTAGGAGTACAAATAGCAAAATACACCAACAAGAAGTTAGCCATCTAAGTCTATAATGATTGAAGGGAAGTGGAGGATAATTCTGAGCTTTCTATATAATGAATAGAAATAGGTAGACAACTCCAGAAGACAACTGAAAAGCACTTAACTAGTTCTGGTATAAGATTACATATGGAGTGCTAAAGTCAGCTTAAAATTATTTGAATGTTCAGGAAAATAGGGTCATTCTGCTGAAAGATTTGAAGGCATCAGTAGAAACCTAGGTACAGCAATACATTTCTATGGTTTCCTCATATAGGGAAACGTTAAACACCAGAGAAATAAGTAGATGCAACATGTGAGAATAGGCCAAAGAAACCAAACCATTATGGTGTATTTGTCTGTCTCGGGGAGTTCTTTAATGGCCTGTGTTACTAGTTAGTGTCTTAATATATGAGTGGTTCTTAAAATACATCACTGGCTGGTGATGAAAAGAATTTAAAACTTTCTTCACAGAGCAAAACTGTGAACTCTGCAGGTGTACATGCTACAAGTATGTCTGTGCAGAGCTCTGAATTACAGTGCTCTGCATCTGGTCTGTAAGTTAGGCCATAAAGTTGGGAAAAAAAAAAAATCTATTATATTAATTTTGTTCTTTGTTTAATATAAATAATTAGTAAAACCAGGAATTATCATATTCTTCATTCTTTTGTATCGTTCTGGGCAACTCACTCTCCTTCATGTACTATAACTGTAAGTAAGTAGGGAAACTAATTAGTTATCCCACATGTATAACATTTGTCTTAATTGATGCTTGTAAAAACTTTATCATCGGACTAGAAAGCTCATCAGATACACTATTTGACATGCTTTTAAGTCATCAAAATATATGTGTTTGTGTGTATTTATACATATCTTCGAGGGGTATAAGTATATATGTGTCCCTAATTACTTTTCATCTAACTTCTAAATTATCAGGAACCTTTGGAAAAATCTGGTTATCTGTTAAAAATGGGTGGTAAAGTAAAGACCTGGAAACGACGGTGGTTTGTGCTTAAAGGAGGTGAATTACTCTACTACAAATCTCCAGTAAGTACATGTAACTTATCTGCTATTTAATATTAGGTTGTTTTTACTGAGAATCTGGAGCTGCTGGAGGGACAAGGAATGCATTCCTGGTGTCTGAGCTGTTAGAGAGTGATTCAGGACTCAGTTCTGCAGTAGGTGTACAAGGCACTCAATGTCTAACTAGGAAGTACTTTTCAAGATTAATGTTTAAATGAGTTCTACAATTATTTATGGCTCTTTGTTGGTAGATTTAAAATACTCTTTTTCCATTGTCTCCATACAGAGTGATGTCATTCGAAAACCTCAAGGTCAAATTGAGCTAAATGCATCTAGCCAGATTGAAAGAGGCGATGGAAAACAAACAATTCAGGTGCTTGCTTTTCTCATCTGTGCTTCAGTGGGTATTTAGTCCCTCCATCCCCAAAACCAACCTGTTGCTCCAGTCCCTATTGCGCTGGAAGTCCAAATCTGAACTTGGAATTAATCAGTGCCATTCACTGGAAACCAAAGAGTCATTTCAGTTACAGAAGCTATAAAAACACCTGCCTGTAGTCTTGTTTGTATTGCTGCAAAGGTCAGATTGTCACATATGAGATATGAATAGAGTAGTCTTGGGGCCAGCCATTAGGGTTGAGAGAAGTCATTTGTCTGAAAGGAGATGAATTGAATTTTCTCAAGTTTGCTGTCCTGGAGATAAAACCTTAGACAAGGTCTGTCTGCTCTGCCTGGCCATGAAATGTTTCATTAATGAAAAGTCCTTTGGGGAAAATAAACTCTCCCAAGCTGTGAAACGACATTGGGTAGTATCTGCTACAACCTCCACAGGGTGGGGTCAAGTGTATGATGCTCTTAAAGCTCAAGACTCTTCCATTACAACATAGCTGACCACAGAAAAACGAACATACTACCTGACTGCAGATTCTCCCAACATCTTAGAAGAATGGATCAAAGTACTACAGAATGTTCTTAAAATACAGGCTGCCAGCCCGCTCTTCATACAGCCTGAAGTCAAGCCAACCATGAAAGGATTACTTACAAAGGTAGGAACACTCTTCTTCCCCAAATCTGCTTTATTCTATATTTCTTAAGAATAATATCTAAATGAAAATGGCCCTACAATACAAGACAAGCAAGACATGTATTTGGTTTCAGAACACTCTTCTTCCCCCAATCTGCTTTTTTCTATATTTCTTAAGAATAATATTTAAATGAAAATGGCCCTACAATACAATAAAGACAAGCAAGACATGTATTTGGTTTCCCAGGACTTCACAGTGTAAGCAGTCCAGAAGGACTACCAACTCACCTACTTTGGGCAGTATTTTTCTTTTGGTTGTTTGATTTGGTTTGCTTTTTCTTTTTGTCTCTTCAATTTATTAGTTCCTATGTTGAGTTCTTCATTTGCACTTCAGTGGTATCTGAGTTCTTCATATGTTCCAGTAGCTAATTGACCAATCTTATTTCAGTGGAGTGCTCTGTTTTACTATATTACTCACTGGGAGCAGATAATTTCAAGATTTAATAAGAGTAGGAATTTTTATCTTCTAATGCTTCCATATCCTTAGCTTCCACTAATTTAGGCCTGATCCAAAACCAAATGAAAAACTCATATTGGCCTTACTAAGCTTTAGACAAGCATCTGATGCTGCTTTAATTCTTATGGCCTTTAATAGAGTTACACAGTTCTAATTACTGTCTAGTAATGTGGAAGGGAATTTGAACCAAGGTATTTATTCCCAGCATCACTGAAGTTCAGAGATGGTGAAATGCAGTCTGTTTCTGTGGCTGTGCATGTTTGTAATGTCCTGTCATTTCAGGTGAAACATGGATATTCCAAAAGAGTTTGGTGTACCCTAGTTGGAAAAATTCTGTATTATTTCCGTAACCAAGAAGACAAGGTAGGTCCCTTACTTGTTTCCTCAGTGAATAGAAGATGACATACTGAAGTAGAATTTAAACAATAAGTTACAGCTTTATTAAGGTATAATTTGCCTGGGTAGTAAATGCTGATTTTTATCTTGATTACCAAACGTTTAGACTTCACAGATTGGTAGCTTGGAAGGTTCATATCTAATAGACAGTAATCCAGGGCACGTCCAATGGCCTCCTTCTAGAGGATGTGACATATATTCTGCATCTTCTTGTCCCCCTTCTAGCTGAAGGGGGACACCAATTTGCTGACATTTCAGGTCTGTCTTTCTGACAGGCATGAAACTCCTCAGAAAAGATCTGTCTGTCATTGACTTCTGGAAGCTGACGCTTTCTAATGTGTGTTTGCAGTGGGCAGTGACTGCAAGTTTCAAGAAATTAGATGTTCTTTTTGTCCCTCAATTGACTTCCAAATCCTGTGCTTTGGTATGTCACTGTACCTCCACAGTGCTGCAAGAAAGGGGGGAAAAAAAAAAAAGCCTAGTAGGATCCAGAGTTTGCTGCTTTGCAGATGTGTGTCTGTGAGGAAGATCTTCTCCCATTCCCCATCAGGATTATGAAAAAGGAGCTCACTGTCTACAACTGAAGTGGACAGAAGTGGAATGGAGGGCAGCAAAAGAAAGGGATGAGAAAATTATTTCTAAAACCTAGGGAAAATACTGTTGGAAGAAGAAATGGGATCCAATCTGCTTTAAGTTAACCTCCCAACATCCCATATCCTGTAGAACATGAGGAGCTCAGAAAGAGCAAGACCTGGCTCTTCCACAGTGGGCCTGACCTTTAGTTCTCTACCCACAATTGTGCATATTGTCAGTCATATTTCCACTCATATTTACCTACAGAGCTGACCAAGGGACACTCCCTAGTCATACTTTTCAGCTGTCCTTTATCTCCCAAGGCATTATATTTTGTCATCAAACATCTTTATAATGGAGGTGGGTCAGGAACAAGATTTTTGAAACTTCTACAAGAATTCATGTTAGTGCTGCTGAGGTTCTGAATATTTGATTCATACCCTTATTACCTAGCTGTACCAAAAAGACTGCTGACACTTGTGAAAATGGTAACAGTCCATTGAGCCATGACAACCAACAGTTCAACAAAATACAGAAAATCTCATGCATTACTTCACAGATAAAGAAATAATCACACTGGACCCAGTAATTTGTAGTGTTTGTATAAAGCTAGTTATTCCCTTTGTTACCCTTTCCTTTGTTAGCCATTTTTAAACATTCAACCAAACCTTATTTCTGTAACTATATGAATGAGATAGCAGTAACCATCCATCAAAGCATTTTATTTTAATTAGTCTTTTTAAAAAGTGTACTACAGGGCTGGGGAAACAAATGATGAGAGTATTAATCTCTAGTTCATCTTAGAAAGACATTAAAATTAACTTGTATTTTCTCCTATGAAGAAATCTCTGTTTAAAGTATCTGAATTTAAACATTTTTCCATTGAGGATTTGAGGGTTTTAGCATGCCCTTTAGAAACAGCTAATTCTGCTGGATTCTTGCAACTACTTCCCTCACATTTTGAACAAGGTTTTCTGCCCTTTTAAAGCAAAATTGAAACTAATTTGCTAGCTTGTAATAGCACAAGAATTTAGCTTTTGTTAGCAGAATATGTGTGGGAAGTTTTCCAAAGGTAGTTAATTTCTAGTCTTCAACAATTTCCTAATTAAAAACATGTTTGCTGTAGCTGAATGTCTGTGCAGAAACAAATGACACAATCTGCAGTGGTTAATGCAGTAATGGAGTCCATTTAAGTGGCCTCCTTTCAAACCGGAATTCAAATTAATACATCGGCCAACTCTGATTTAGTTTAACTTAGTGAGTAAATTGTTCTTGACTATTTGTATGTATAGTGGCATATATGTATAATGTCATCTCAATTTTCAGAATCTTGCCATAGTCTGAAAGTGGAATGTTTCTGGAATGCCACAGAAAACACAAATCACCCTGTGGATCTTTAATCCTTACTAGTGAGAGCACTGAAATAAAGAGTCTCTGCTATGTGATGTCTTCTTCAAAATGATTATATTATTAAGAGCTCACTTTATCTAATCACTATTCAAGAAACCCACACTAAATTGAGTCAAACTTGCCAGCTACACTCCAGTATGGTATTTTCAAATGGTATTATTGAGAAGCCTCATCTTCTTTTCACTGGTGTTGGTATTTCAACACAACTCACTTCAGGCTGACATTTGAATGTGGCACAAATAAGATGCTAGTTAGTGTAGTGCCCAACTGTCTCTCTGCCAGAGGGAAACAAACATCCCTCTCTTTCTGCTGAATCACTAAGTGGGGCTAGACATCACAAACAACACAGAAACAATAGCTGAGATTTCCTCACCATTAGATAACACTCTTTGGAAGACCTTAATGTCTGAAGAAAGAGCAGTGGTGCTGTCTGAAGGGAGGGAGCTTTGTATAAAGTAGCCAGTAAGGACTGTCATTGTCTGTCAGTCCTGTCACCCAGCTGTGCAGACTGCATGCTATATTTCTGTTCATTGTGCCTTCCTGTTGATAATAACCATGAAATAATTACTTCTGTGAAGATTTCCTTTTGAATGGCTTTTCATATAGAATATTACCTGATAAATGACCATAATTACATATACAACTTAAAACTCAAGTCCTGTGATCTGTCAGACTGGAGAATGAAACCAACTGAGGAGGTCTACCACACAAAAAATGTACTTTCTGAATTTATAGCACAAAGTGGGTATGTCAACAATACACTGCTATCCTCTGAAATACCAAGATAGTAATTAAAGTTCTAGGCTTGATCCAGGGAATATTTGCTTGGAACCAGCTCTGGACACTCAGAAGAATTACTTTTCTCACCCTAACAGACATTACTGCTTTAACTAGATACAGAAGCAGAGAATTCTTTTAAGAAGAAGAATTTTTTAGAAGAGAATTTTTTTAAGATCTCACTTTCAGACTTTGGCACATACCATTCTCCTCCTGTTGTCTGCAACAGCTGGCTTAGCTGACATCTCTTGGCAGGACTGAAAATGAATAAATACAAACCAGAATTAATGGTAGTTCATGTTTTTCTTGGTACTTCTAAAATAAAAAATACAAAATCAGTATGCGCTGAAGGAAATATTTGCTCTCTTACCACTTCTGATATTTACTTCTAGTTTCCTCTTGGTCAAATCAAGATTTTTGAGGCAAAAGTTGAAGAAGTTGATAGATCATGCGATTCTGATGAAGATTACGAGGCTAGTGGTCGCAGTTTATTATCAACACATTACACTATTGTTATCCACCCCAAAGATCAAGGACCCACTTACCTCCTTATAGGATCCAAACACGAGAAGGTAATAAAAGGACTTTTTAACTCTGTTTCAGTAACACGTCTATGGAGTATGGTGCTCTGATAGGAATATTTCTTAAAAAGGAGGCGGAGGGGGACCTGCAAGTCATTTGCCTTGTAGTTTGATGCAGTTAGCAAGGAAGAGGTCCTGCTTCATTAACACAGATCAGTTTGTCTGCAAAGCAGTGCTCTCACAGGCAATCCTTTTTAAAATAGATGACAATAAGCAGGCTTGCCTACAGAAGGAGGTAGTGCAGAATATCAAATATGCTGTAAATTGAGAGTTCTGGCACATTAACTTGTAGACAGACCCACAGCAGACCTTCTTGGGATGTTTTGGGATATAGTTACCATTTTCACTGATGAGACTAACAGTAGGGAAGACTGCTCTACCCAACTGAAGGATAAATGAGAGGTTAGTTAATTTTTATTATTATTGTTTCATTTTTCTCAAGTAATCTTGTAGACCTCATTTTACTTTCTGGCCTTATCCCCAGGTTAGCAGGATCCAGTATTGATAAAAAGGCTCTTTTGTTAGCTTTCTGAAGAGGAGAGGAGAAATACTCTGATAATTAGCCATGATTTCTGAAAGTAAAAGACTTCTGAAGAGAGCCCTGACCAATCTTCCTTGCTTAATATTTGTAACATAGATCCCACAAATACAAGTGTATTCAAACAAAGACAAACTTCTTTGGGAAAAAGCGCATGGTAGTGTTTCAAACTGAGAGCAAAAAACCTAATGAAGTGGCTCCTTCCAGCATGGAATGAGTTGAGCTGCCTTGTTTTTCTACTTTAGGACACATGGCTTTATCATCTGACAGTTGCAGCTGGAGCTACCAGTGTAAATGTTGGATCTGAGTTTGAACAACTTATTTGCAAATTATTAAATATGGAAGGCGACACCAGTAAGTTTGGTTTTGTTTCAACATACTGATCTTCTAATACTTATTTATCAAATGTACTTATGAACAGAATTCATTGCAAACCTGCATCTTTTATCCATTTAGCTTCTCAGATTTGGAGACATCCTACCCTTTGCCACAGCAAAGAAGGAATTGCTTCCCCTCTTACAACATTGCCATCAGAAGCCCTACGAACTGAAGCAATTAAATTATTTAAGGTAAAACCATAACAGAAGCCTTTTTTATTCACTGACTTACTATTTTAAATCTTAGCTAGAAAATGACTGCTATTTGGCTTACTAGAAATGTTCAACAGATAAGAGAAAAAGAAGTTTACTCTTCTCTTTAGTGAAGGTAACTGATGGACAGTAGCAGAATATCTCCATATTATCTCACCAAAAGGCTATCACTTTCAATGTAGAGATCACTTTTAATTGTGACAGAGAAGTTTAGGCTTCAACTGTTGGCACTCCTACTCAGGTTATTGAAAAAGTGCAAGTTAGTAAAAAAACCCCCAGCCATCATGGATGACAGTAAATTTTATCATGTAATTCATAAGCCCCAGAGAACTGAACAACATGGCTGGTTCTCCGTATTCAGAGAACTGTAGATGAAAGAGTATTTTTTCAGTTAGATTTCAGGAAGAACAAATGGTAGGCAAAAGAGTTGTAGATGTATTTAGATTGGCTAAAAGACACTTAAAATATTGGAAGAACAACAAAGCAAAGTTTAACTTTAAGCAAATCATGGATTATTTCAAATTCAGAGAGAAGGAAGAGATTCTACTGTTCTTTTCAATTTAAAAAAAAAATATTTTCTTCATATGAAGTAACTATTCTTAAATTCTCATTAGCTATTCTAGTAACATAAATAGAGAAAATATTACAGAGTAAAATTACTGAAGGTATTTTGCAACAGTTTTTCTAATTCATTTTCCATGATTTTCATACACCTTTAAAAAGGCACATATGTGTATCTCCCAGCAGTAGGAAAAGGCTTTATGACTAAGAAACACATAATGGTTCATAACTTCTGTGCTGCAGCTGGTTTCTTGAGAATTTCTGTATGTCAGCATGAGTGTACATCTCTGCCAGCTGAAGGCTGATAGGTGGCTGGTACCTGTGAGTGGGAGTATGCTGCAGTGCTGTTAACCTTCCTTCTCCTCTCTCCTGCCCTCACCCAGGTAAACTACTCCTAAGCATTAACTAATAGCCAGGCTATAAAGTCTACTCCAGAGACAAAATAAAATCTTGCTGTTCCTTTTTCTGTGTGTTGTGGAATAAATTACAAGTTGGAAGGCACTGAGCTTGGATAAATGAACTTGCCCCACAGAACTTAGAGCAATCTAAAGATTAAATTCCCTGGAGCATCAACTGTCTGGAGGATTCTGATGCAGTGGTTCAGATCTAGAAAGGAATTCAAGACAAGAACCATATGTTCAGTCACAGCCACTTGTAGGCAGACTTTCCAGTTTGTTTCTTTGAAATGTTTGAAGCACTTAGAAGAGGTATGCCCATCTTACTTTCTGCAATCTAGCAGCATGAAAATTTAAAAGAGAATGTAGTTCTCCAATAAAAATACATTTATATCTACTTGGAAATCACTTTCTGAAATATACTTCAGACCTAATTGAGATGATACTTGCCTAAAATAAATAAATTGGAGATGACTTACATGATCTTTATTGAACCTTTGTATAAATCAGTTGAAAAGTCAGGTATGGAATTGATTTAGAAACATATTGAGTCATGTTTCAGTTATTCCATTGCTGATGAAAATCAGCCCTGTGCATCCACATATTTTTAGATGGACTAGAAACAGATTTGGCTTCCAGCCGGGTTTCCTTAGTCTCCTGGTAAACTGGCATTGCAACTTTAATTACAGCACAATGTTAACAGTGTTACACAGAATGTCTAAAAGATTTTTGGAGCCCTTTGTATGTAAACTCCCTTGCTTATTATTTTGTCTCTAGACCTGCCAGTTGTTTATAAATGCTGCTGTTGACTCTCCTGCGATTGATTACCATGTGTCTTTGGCCCAAAGTGCTTTGCAGATCTGCCTCACACATCCTGAACTTCAAAATGAGATCTGCTGTCAGCTTATTAAACAGACTAGACGTCGACATCCACAAAACCAGGCAGGACCAATACAGGTAACCCAGTATTTATTTTGGTGGTATCTATTTCAACAGCAGTAAAGGAACTATACAGACTGTTCAGAATAGTAAAGGGGTTCTGCTCCTCTGTAACATCTGCTTACCTAAAATCACATTAAAAACCTGAACTGACATCTTACTGCTGCTGTGTGTTCCTGAAATGTTGCTATCCTCCATCAAAGTGTGTGTAGCTGGTGGCAGAACCTATCTGTGCTGTTTTTCAAGGCTGGATGTACAATGGGCCATCTCCAAGTTAAGTGTTGCGTAAGACATCGTGCATGGAACCCAATTCTCTTCTGCATCCTCCCTAAGAGATGTCTCATCAGGAAGGTTGGTGGGCTGAACCACATGGCAGAAATATGAAGTGTGAAGAAAAAGCTGTAGTGCAATGTGGTGGAATCTGGGATATGTTCCCACTTGTATGTGACCTGCATGCCAGACTGTACATCAAATTGTTGGATCTAATCTACTGGCATTACTTTTAAGAGTTAATGTGTTCAATAAAATGTTTGCAGCCTCATGCTGATTTTTTAAAGTCCTAAATTCATGTTGTAGTCTTGCTAAGTGTTGAGTAAGACATTGTGCATGGAACCTAATTCTCTTCTACTGCATCTTCCCTAAGAGATGTCTCATCAGCAAGGTTGGTGGGCTGAACCACATGGCAGAAATATGAAGTGTGAAGAAAAAGCTGTAGTGCAATGTGGTGGAATCTGGGATATGTTCCCACTTGTATGTGACCTGCATGCCAGACTGTACATCAAATTGTTGGATCTAATCTACTGGCATTACTTTTAAGAGTTAATGTGTTCAATAAAATGTTTGCAGCCTCATGCTGATTTTTTAAAGTCCTAAATTCATGTTGTAGTCTTGCACACTTCATTCTACTGCAGTATCTTCATGAAAACAGAGCTGATGCTGCATCCATCAAAGTACAGGTATTTGATGAAAGGCAACATCTGTGCCTGTGCCATCAAATTTCTTCTTAACTCCAGGCAAGTCAGATAAATAAATACAGAGAAACCTCATTTTCTAAATTTCAGTATGATGCATTGATACAATGTGAGAAAAGTAGCTGCAATGTTAGTAAGTGTATATCCAGAGTAGATGAGAGCAGTCTATGTTCAGTGAAACTATGGATATGTACCGAGCAATGAAAATATACCAAAATATTGAATTTCTTTTTTTCAAAAGTTACTATCTACTTGGTAGGAGGAAAATTTCTTATAGGTTGCTTCATAGTATATGTAACAGGAGAGCTGAATTAAAATTCAGGCTTTTCCTTATATCATACTTGTAGCTTTAGTATTTTTTTCATGTATATTAACTGGTTTTTATACAAACTGATCTGCTTTCCCATTTCCAGCCTCCAAAGAAACCTGGTGCACACAAGTAAACAGAAAGAGAGCATTGTGTCCTTCCAATGAGATGACATGCTTATTTACTCAGATTTTTCTCTGTGTTTTATTTTTTTATCCCTTTTTACAGCTGTTACTTGACTTGGCACAGTAAGCTGCACTGCTGGCCAGCAGCCACAGCAGGAAGTTTTACTTTGTAAGGTATTTAAAACAGTGAATGTCTTCCTTTTGTCTAGGGCTTGCAGCTCTTGGCTCTCTGTGTTGGGCTCTTTCTGCCCCAGCACCCGTTCCTCTGGCTTCTTAAACTTCACTTAAAGAAGAATGCAGATCCCAGGTATGCCTGAATATTATTACCCAGCTAGCTGACCAGTCTTTCTGAAGTACTTTATTTTCAGTCTTTTATTTAATATTTCAGACCTTTGATATATAATTTAAAATAAATTTGAGTAAAACTGGGCTCTGCTGCTACTAAAATGTAGTATATGTTACTTCTATGTATCACTTAGGAAAGCTACCCTTTGTTTTGAAAGACACTCTGCAGTGGAACTCTGTATATTGCAAAAACATGAAAACCAAAGTATGGCAGTTACACAAAACACTCTGATCCGTGGTCATCTTTGGCACAATTCTGTTGATCTCATTCCACATGGAAAAATGTGTTGGGAATCTCACAAAGTGAAATCTGAGTGCTCCTCCCATCTGGCATCCCCAGAAAATTTTACTCATCATTTACTATCCTTTAAGTCCATCCCCAAGCATTGCCTTCTTTCTTGTTTTGTCACAGGACTGAATTTGGGAAATATGCAATCTATTGTCAGCGATGTGTAGAGCGTACCCAGCAGAACGGAGACCGAGAAGCCAGACCTTCCAGGATGGAAATCCTTTCTACTCTCCTGAGAAACCCCTACCACCATTCACTGCCCTTCAGTATTCCAGTTCACTTCATGAACGGCATATATCAGGTAATGGCAGGCAGACCATGAAATCTGAGCTAGCCCAAGCCCCTGCTGTTAGCATATACATGAAGTAGTATATCAGAAAAAATAATTTTAAGTGTTCAGGTAAACATGGTTCAAGCTTCAGCCTGTGCCAGGGCTGGCAATGACAGGCATAAGATACTGGTGATCTGATTTGATCAACAAAGAGTAAAGGTTTGGGGGAAAACCTTTAAAAGAAAGGAAAAAAAAAAACACCCCAAAGCTTCTTAAGAGTAAGAAATACTGAAGTTCTGTTTCTTATTTAACATGGCCAGCAGATGAATGAATTAGACTGAAGAAAAGGGAAAGGTATTAAATTCCACTTCCTTTCATCAGAGATCTTGAAAGTTAAGTATCTCAGCAAGGGCCTGGAAGCACAGCTGTAACTCCCATTATCAGCTCAGAAGGATAACTGTATCTGTGACAGAACAAGCACAGCTTCACTCTTAACTCTTTTGGGACATCATCAGTCAAAGCCTGTAGGCAGCTTTCCATGGGCTTCCATGCATACTGCTTTACATTCTGGTTTGTGTCTCTAACTGTGAGAGCTGGCTGAAAAGAGTTTTTTAGCAATGCACAGTATTCCTAGGTAGAAAGCAAGTTTTTATATGAAAGACACATTGAATAAACTTTTAATGTCAGGTCACAAAAGAACTCTGCTTTTTTTCCCCTCTAGGTTTCTTAATTGCTTACTTCCTACCCAGTAAAACAGAAAAAAAAAACCAAACCAACATGCATTTAAGTCATCCTAAAAGGTTTTAAAATTGCAGTTTGAGGATGAAAAGGGCTAACTGCTCATTAAGTCTTTATTGCTCAAAAAGTATATACTTCCAAGTATACATTACAAAATTGTAATACATAAATTACTTCAGTGGGATCAGCAAATAAGCAATTCTAGTGTTATTGAAAACTGTCATATTCATCTCTGAAGCTAGACTCAGCAGATTTGTTTAATGCCAAGCACTGAGAAGCCCAAAACAGAACTCCAAGATCCATGTTCAAGACATTTCCTTAACAAAAGAGTAAAACACCTTCAAGGAAGACACCTTCAAAACATATTTAAGTGAATACCAACAGCTAGTATCTGTGCAAAAACCATTTGCTATCTCTTGCTAAAATGCTTTAATACTACCAATAACAGACAAAAATCCAGATTTGGGAAAACAGAACACTCTATATGCTGATCTAAGTAGTCCTGACAGCAACATTTGTAAAATATTTTGGATCTGCTGATGTAGATCCATCATGTAATATACCTCTGAAGTTGCACATGATGAAAAATGATTAACTGATCTCCTTTGTTTCACCACCGTACTGAAAAGTGTAGGAAATGAAAGTTTTCTTCATTTTTCAAGTGGTATTTGTCACAAAAAGCTCAGATAATAAATTGCTTTCTGTTACATAAATTCTGTAGCAGAAGTGCAGCAAGTGCAAAGAAACCAATATAAACAAAGAAAATAAAACCCAAAAAATAACATTCGGAAGCATGTTAATAGTGACTTTGATTTCATAAACAAAATGCAGTAAGGTACAATCTTCTGGGAAGTTAATTTTTTGGGTGGAGAAAAACTCCACTATGTTGACTTCCCATGTGGAGATCTTGAATCTTTTCCATACCCTTAATGGAAATGTTTAATTTCCATTGGCAATAAGTTACTTACAGAGGATGGAATGGGTCTAACATTCCCACTGTTATCCTAAGGTGTATAATCTTTCAAAATCTTAGATTTAAAGGGGGTGGGGGAGTATAAGTTTGATAGCAAAATACATTTGGGCTGCTTTTTTAGGTTGTTGGGTTTGATGCCTCTACCACAGTGGAAGAATTTCTGAACACCCTGAATCAGGATACAGGGATGAGGAAACCAGCTCAGTCAGGATTTGCACTGTTTTCTGATGATCCCTCTGGCAAGGATATAGAGCACTGTCTTCAAGGAAACATCAAGGTAAACAAAAGCTTTTAATAAGCTCTGCATATAAAACAACAAATTATCTTCATTTTACAGAGCTCTCTTCAGACAATGTAAAGGAAAACATTTTTCAGGCTGAAAACTGTCTTTAGGTTTTGTTTTTTTTTTCCTAATGTAAAAGGAAAGATTAAGGAAAGGAACAACCATCACTTTTTCACTTGCTGAAATTCATTCAATGAACTATATTTAAAAGCTTTGTCTAGGAGACTGATATTATTCAGAGAAGTAGCAGCTGGGTTAAAAAAGAAAAAGAAAGCTGTTACTAGTCACAGTTCTTTAGAACTAAAAAGCAGTTGGAGTCCTCCATGCATTTAGAGATTTCAGTTAACAGTTCTGGTATAACTTCAAAAGATCCCTATTTGAGGTCCAAAAAGTCATTGATACTGGGGTGGAGATCCTGAGGGAGGGAAAAAAAAAAAAAGAAGGGGTTCCTTATCTAAATACAGAGTAATTAGGGTTCAGTTCAGGAAATTTCCAGTGTTTGGTTTGTCATTCTCCAGAATTCTGAAGTTTAGTTCTCTCTATTGCTAGAATTAAATTCTTCACAGTAAGGTGGCAAAGTCCAATATAATCTATGCTTTAGTAAAATATTATCTATTTTTCAAGTCTTCTAGCAACTAATGAATAATGAATTTGTTTGTGTGTCTGCTCCTACCAAAGCAGCCTTTTGCCCCTTTGGCCAACGTTCACAACTCCAGGTCACAAGGTGACAAAGAAGCTGGGGCACCACAATCAGCTCACTCCCCCTACCAGAATAATTACCATATGGAGAGCAAAATGTAAAAAAACTATACTTATTTTCTTGGTAAATGTACCTTTGGAAGCTGTTCACATTACTGCTTCCAGGAAGGCTCTTTTATGAAGGAAGGGTGACATGAAGCCCAGCAAGGTCCTAGGACTTCTGTTCCACCTCCTTCCCCTGTGGCCCACCTACCCACCTACACTGCTGCTTGTGAACCACTCCTGCTGCACTTTGTAAAAAACTTCATACAAACTTTAGAGCAGTTACTAGAAAGAACCTGAAAAGCTCCAGCATGCAGCAGAAAGAGAAGGCAGAGATCAAAAGCATTTGATTCATTAAATAACAGCTCACTCTGTAATTACACATTCATTGCCATCTGCTAAATCAAGTCCCTGGCCATTCCACAGGAGCATGTCATGGCTTATTTCCAAAGGCAGTGTGTGTGTCTGTGGCAGGATAAGCAAACAACAAAAACGTTAATTATTAAATGCTCCAACTAAGAAATACAAGTAAAGTTATCTTTCAGTAAGTTTAAAAATTCAAGCTATGTATGCTTCTCCTGTGGAACAGGTAAAAGATACTGAAATAAGTTGACAATTTCTATTCAAAGGTGTTTGCAAAGAGGAACACATGGCAAAGTCAGTTTTGCATTGCTTTCCTTCTAGATCTGTGACATTATTTCAAAATGGGAACAAGCCTCCAAAGAACAGCACCCTGGGAAATGTGAAGGCACAAGGACTGTCCGCCTTACCTACAAAAATAGGTTTGTTTAGCAAGTGTAACATAAGCCTGGTCCCAGTACTTGTTTTTAATTGCTGCAGAGTTTCCTCATCTGAGAAATACTGGCTGACTCAAAGCTTGCAAGAAACATAGTGAGTGGGTGTAACTAGCAACTTGGTTTTTTTCAATATAATTAATTCTTTCTGGTTCTTAAGATATGAGCAGGGCTGCCTAAAAGGGAAACAAGAAAAAAAACAAGCATCAACACTGAAGTCAGAAGACTGAAATTAAGTATTTGCCCACTGGTCAAAGTACGAGTGTTGCTCTGCTAATGTGTTTTGATGCTGACATAAACATGTCACATCCAGAGCAGATACTGCTAATCCCCAGGGCTAATGCATTTCCCTATCTGCTTTATTTAATAACTTTCTACCTTTTCTGTAGGCTTTATTTTTCAGTTCAAGTCCATGGGGAGACAGACAGAGAGAAGCTGCTGCTAGTATATCAGACAAATGATCAAATAGTCAATGGACTTTTCCCTGTAAACAAAGACCTAGCAATGGAACTGACAGCTCTTTTAGCTCAGGTAATCCTTGTGCATTAACGACTCACACAGCAGGTTTACAGATGAAAAATCTGAATACAGAAACTGGTCTAGGATTGCTTGACAGTCAAGTGACCTCCACCTTTTACATGTGACAGTGCAGGAAGCAGACTGGGCTGGAAACTTTGTGTGGGGCTGACTCTGTGCTCCAGTGGAAACACTTTTACAGCACGTGCTGCTGTTGGCACCAGTGCAGATAAAATGTGCTTCACCTCCTACACAGTCAGGCTCCCCTTGATTAAAATCATGTAATCATGTACCACTTCTTCATTCACAACTCCTTACGTGACTTCTGCAAGTTAATACACCAAAGTAACAGCTGTGTGATGAAAGCCTTTACTAGACAGGATCTTTATAAGACCTGTTGTATTTTTTAAAAATGGAAGGCTTGAGGGAAGGTTGTTGGGAAAGTTATTTCACAGTGTTGCTCGATAAATCTAAATTGGCTTATGTCAGCTGGAGATCTAGCAATCTCAGAGCAGACTAGTATAATTTATACTTGATATTTATGGTTATTTTCCATGCAAATAAACATCTTAAATATAAAATAAGAATGAAATTACTTGCATGACTTTTATATCAGTGAGAAATACATGTTCATTCTCAAACTAGTTTTCATTTTATACTTGGTAAGGCAGAGGAAAAGATAGCTTGTAATACCCAGCTAGAGAATTACTCTGGAGTAACAAAATATTTTCTTCTTTGTGGTCTATCCCTTAGATAGAGGTTGGAGATTTTGAACGGCCTTTCTCAACTCCAGCAGGGCAAGTGACTTCCCAGTCAAAGTCCAACCAAACATTAAAACAAGTTTTGGAGAGATTCTACCCTAAGAGATATCAGCATGGTTGCTCAGAGGAACAGTTAAGGTGAGATGTATTTCGTGATTCATATTCTCAAAAATTTAGGAATGAAAAGAGGGAGTTTCAAATTGTCATTAGGTACAACTTACTGTAATGCCATATTTGCCTAAACCTCTGGTTGAAACTAATTTTCTTACTAAAGAACCCATTTCCTCTGTATATTTGTAATCTAAACAGAGGACCATAATGCAGCACGCATTCCTGCATAATGCAGCACCCATTCCTGCAAGAGCTGTACAAGTTACTACACAGTGTTACAAAACCCAGTGATTTTGAAATTCTTATTTTTCTTATTCAGCAAATCTAAATTAAGTCTGTGCACAAACTAAAGAACTACTGCAACTAAAGGATGTGACAATCCAATCTGAGCATTTGCTATTCAAATGTGCAATCTCTGGCAGCCAGTCAATCTGGCAATAAGTTAACTTAGTGGACTTACTAGTAAGGTGTCACTTAATTTAAAATGAATAACCTGCAAGTTCATTTCAGTCAACACCTAATAACATGCATAAGAGCAGAACAGTGTAATAAATTATCCCAAGTCAGTGGTACAGCAATTTTGGAGTCAAATAAACATCATAGAAATGTTTTCCTCATTCTTCAGAACAAGGCTGAGAAATTTTAAAGTTATTACCATATGCACGAAGTAATATTATTATATACTCAGAAGATAATAGGGCCATTAAAAAGTATACACAAAACAAATGGAAAGTTGTGCAATTAATTTCAAAGAACAAAGTCTGTGGAGTCCTGAATTAGACCAGCTCGTGGAGGGTAAGTCAATCATGTTGAACTGTTCAAGCAGTCCCTGCAAGCCCAATTGCCAGAGCTGCAGGTCTGTGGCAGGGAAAAAGGACTCCATGCCTGCCCTGTCGTTTGTATCCTTCTGCTAAGGGGGCAGTGTGCCTTCATAAACGTCCAGTAAGAGTAAGCTGCAAGGTGAGATCTCCCTTCACCACACATTCCCCTCCCTTTTCTTGGGCTGCATTGAACAGCCTGTGGCTGCCTGGTGAGGCACTCCTGCAGGACACGGTGCTAGAAGGGTATTCTGGGGGTTGGAGGATTAGTTTTCCATAGGATCATTTTATTGAACCAGCTCAACATGGGGCTACAGAAGAAAAGAGCCATTGTGAAGAATTATCATGCATCATGAGCACCCTTTTTGGCAGCAGCACCCAGATACACTGAAAAAGAGTAGTGTTAAGCCCTATCTTCCACATCTCCTACTAGCCACAGGTGAAGGTATGTGCTAAGCTGGATGGATTTTTAGAATGACAACTGGCATAACTGTTGAGTACTGATAAAGGTAGATTGATTATCTGTAGAGACACATTAAAAGCTGTCCTAGACTTTTTCTCTTTATGCTGCCACTGCTACATCAATATTTAATCATAATGTTGCAGAAATTAGAAGATAGTTTGGAATTTTCATGTGCATAAAAATATGAAATGATGTTTTGGATTTATTTGATACTGTAGAAGTGATAGTTGTATTAAATCATCGTTTTAGCAGATGGATTCTTTTTTGTTCATTAAGCTCACTACGGGTAAGCACTGAAACTCCCTTCAGTCACTGAATGACAGATTTCCTTTCAACAGGCAGCTCTGTCAGCGACTGTCGACAAGGTGGATGGCGCTGCGGGGGCACAGCGCTGCGGACTGCGTGCGCATCTACCTCGCCGTCGCCAGGAAGTGGCCTTTCTTCGGGGCTAAGCTCTTCCCTGCCACAGTAAGAACCTCACCCCCTGAGGATTCTTTACATAGAAACACAGTTTGCAAATAGTTACACCTTTTTGTTGAAAATCAGTGTTATGCTGATTCCATCTCCTGTCCAGTGACTGACTTCTTTAAGCCACATATGCACCAGTGAAATGCAACAGCCGTAGTACTTGGTACACCATAACAGTAACTTCCCAATACACTTACTGGTTGGTTTACATAATTAATCCAAGTGGTATCTTTTCATGTTCCTATACCATATATCTTAGTTTGAGGTAGCTTTTTTGTTTTGGGCTTTTTTATCTAGCAGAATATTGAAAAGGCATCATTAACTGGCTATGGTAGGTGAACTTTGCAGAAACATGAACTGTTGTTAAGGGTATTTAAGACCACTTCCTTCTGTGCTGGCCTTTCAATTTCTCTTAAACCATTAATATCTTAATTCTGTTGATTCAAATAACAGCTATGTTAAACGTAACCATCACCTCACCCCATATGCTTTTCTGGAGAATCCCAGGAGGTCAATATATACATAAATATATAAAACTGCTTATCACCACTCTGTTCTTTGCATATGTAGACATGTATGTGCCTGACTTTTGTTTTATTTATTAGTAAGACTATACATTTTATTGGACTAAGCACTGGGGAGGGGTCTTCAAGAGTATTACGCTGAGTTCGTAGTTCTGCCACTGTCTGCCTACATGTCCCTGGGCCTCTAGTTCAATTCCTTTACAGCAGTTCCCTCCCAGTGTAAATCTTTGTAAGATCTGTGGACGGAGAGAGCTCTACAATATCGTGAGAGTTAATACTTATTTACATATTGCCTAATTTAGAAGCAGTAATTAAAGAACCTTTCTCTTTCTAGCCTCTAGCAACATCCTCAGTTGAGAAGTCCTTCATATGGTTTGCTGTACATGAAGATGGCGTAAGCATCCTAGATTACAGCTCTATGGTAAGTGGAATTTCTATTTTAATTTTGGTCAAAGTAGACTTTAATACTGAGTATATGGAGAGATTCACCACCACACTACATAAAAGATGGCATTAGCCTTCCACACTAGTTATCTAGTCTTTCTCTTAAAGCAAACATTCATTCCTTTCAAAGCGCTTTTTAATGTTATCAGCATTACTGTAGCACTAATAATAGAAATAAATAATGAATTCTTTGCACAGAATTTATTTTTGTTTATCAGATACAGTTTTTATGCCTTTTAATGAAATGTTAATGTTTTAATCATTCAGATGTCAGGTGATCTATAGTTACAGTTCTCACAATAACGTCAATTTTCTTTTCCTGGAGATTTCATTTTCCATTATTATTCATAATACATACACTCTGCAAAGAGCAGTTACTTTAAAAGATTGTTATTTTCATTGTATTATTTTTGTTTAATAGTAGGTAATATAACCCAATGTTATTTAATTATGTCATTTTCGGCTCTGATTTTACTTTGATTTGCAATAGAAGTTTTCACAGGAAACGACTTGTGGTAATCAGTGTAAAAAAGCAGTGCTGAGAAGATCCCTGCTTTAATTTACATCCTGCAAAGAAACAGAATGGCACGGTGCTATTAGCAAGTGCTAATATTGAATATCAGAAAATTAAAATCTCTTCTTCATAACTGTACTGATAGGGGCCTTTTCATTATGTTTCTTTGCAGTTAAATAGTAAAAGAGGGAGAGCGAGCAGCAGCTCTGTTCAGAGAACCAGTGAAATGAGCTTGCAGCAGGCTGCAGGCAGCTCGATGGACAGGATCCTTCAGAGCTGGCTGTGGCCTCCCTGCAGAGCACTGCCCCTTCACAGTGCCAGCAGGCCTGACTCGCCGTTCAAACATGCTCAGTTTCTAGGGAATATGCTAAATCTCTGTAGGAAGGATCAGAGGTATCAGAAATGACATTGCAAGGGGTAGAGAAAACATTATTTTTAAATAAGGGCAAAAAGTAACCAAAGGATGTTAAGTCGGTTATTGTCCAAATATTGTCTTTGGATGTATTTTGAATGTGAACATCTGCAGCAAATTCCTCTGAGTTGTAATGACAAATTAAATGTGCACCATAGACTCAAAGGCTGCTAATGTGGTGTTGAACATTGAACTGTAAGAGTTGAGGCCTGGAAAGCTGAGGAGCCTTGAAAAGCATTTATGTTTCATCAGAGATGTAGAAAAAAAGAGAAGAGAATTTGATTTCATTTGTGTCTATCCAAACTACATCACTGCACAAAAAGAAGTCCCATAGTTAAATTGTTTCATATGTCTCATACTCTGCCATTTAATTTGTTTAGACACTGCTCCGATTCCAAATAGAACACCTAAGATCATCTTCTCTTAAAGTCAATCAAGACTTGTGTAAATTGTTACACTTGAGTTGAAACCTGCTTATAATATCTTTCATCTAATTAATTTGAAATAGAAACAGAGGCCAAACTTGCAGAGTTACCATCTGCAATGGAAATTACTCATCGTGAAGGTCTGAATGATGCTGTCCCAAAATTCACAATTAATTTCAGGATTCACAAAAGGCTAACAATAACATTCTGAAAAATACATGTGTAATTATAATTTTAAAAGAAACACCTAAGGATTATCTTCTCTTAAAGTCAACCAAGACTTGTGTAAATTGAGTTACACTTGAGTTGAAACCTGCTTATAATATCTTTCATCTAATTAATTTGAAATAGAAACAGAGGCCAAACTTGCAGAGTTACCATCTGCAATGGAAATTACTCATTGTCAAGGTCTGAATGATGCTGTCCCAAAATTCACAATTAATTTCAGGATTCACAAAAGGCTAACAATAACATTCTGAAAAATACATGTGTAATTATAATTTTAAAAGAAGGATTTGTCATGATCTGTTTTTCCTGCATTTTCCTGCTTATAACTTTCTGTTTTGCTTTTTGGGTTTTCTTTTTGAAGCGATCAACAGTTACATATGCGTATAAGAGTCTGATGACTTTCGGAGGCTATCAAGATGATTTTATGTTGGTCATTAACAATGCTCAGACAAAGGACAAATCAACTGAAAAACACCTTTTTGCCATGGCAAAACCCAAGGTTGGTATATTACCTGAAACTGTTGCCTACTATCTGCTACTTTTCTACTTTCTCTGGTGGGTAATCCTTAATAGATGTGAAAGATTAAACACTTTTCTTTATTCCTAATATTCTCAGATTGTAGACTTTGGCAGAGGCTTTTAGAGAGCTAACGGTGACAATACTGATGTGTAACTGTCCTTTTCACATCCCTAACTATTCCAAATTTTTCACAGAAGGACAAAGAAGGCTATTAAGGACAGGAATTTTAGGCAGTACCTAAAACCTAGTTTGTTTGCTTGATCAGCAGCAGAGACAATTTTTAAAGATGGTGCATTTTTGTACTACAGTGGAATTGTAGAACACAGGAACCAAAAGAACAGTCATTTCTTAAAAATCCTAGGGCATTTTTACCTTTGGTAAAGAAACTGTTCATGCTTTTTGAATCTAGATTCACTTCTTTGCTAGTAAGATTGACTGTCTTTTTAAAAAAAAGCAAAGATTTCAAAGTCTTTTGCTGTTGGTCAGAAAAATTCATGAAACTGAAGACAAAATCCCACATATAAATTTGGGTTGAATTATGGCTCTTCATACAGATAAGCATAATGAAATACATCTGCTTAAATTATCCTCAGATTGTGCCCTTACAAGCAAGGTAGTGTGGATTGCAAAGACAAAAATATGTTAAAAGGCTCCCAGAAGTCTTTATGTGTTTTATTTACCCAAGTCTTTAGTTCTCCAAGCACTACTTATTTTCTAGCAAACTGAGGAACACATCATGAAAGTTTTTTCTGAGAGCATCATTTTTCTGACTTCAAAAATCTCTCTCAGAGAGAAAGAAGCCATCTGTTCAAATCATTTAAGACTGTGGAAGACAAAGTGTCTAGCATACTGATGGGATTAACATTACATTATTTGCAAGAAGCAACAGAAAAAAGCTCTATTAGGCATCTCCTCTCTCCCCCGTCATTAATGCGCTTGATAAAGTACTTTTCCAGTTGATGGTGATTGTCACCTGCTAAAAAGTTAGCTATTTTTTCATCAGTCAAAACACATCACTGTATTTTTCAAAGAGTTTTGTATGTTCCTGTTATAGATTCTTGAGATCACTCTACTGATTGCCAGCTATATTAACAACTTTCATCAGCTGAAAGGAGCTGCTCATCACCTCTCTGCTCCGGCATTACTGACACCTCAGACTGGACAGAAGCTCAAGGAGGTGGGGAGTCAGCCACTTCTTGCAAACAACAGGCCAACCAAGTGTCCCACTTTGTTATGAAAGGATTATCCATCATGATAATGCATCTTTGTCACAGGGTTTCTATGCTGACTGAAAACTTTTTGATGTACAAGACACAGAGTATAAGCAGGTCCACAAACAAAAGAAAGGTGGGTGGGTTTACATCCATTTCAGTGGTAGGTAACAGGAGGAGGGCTTTAATTAAAGCCCTGGCCTGAACTGGAAGGATGACAAGCCATAAGGATTATGCTTTTCTGCTGGTGGCTTGTGCCTACAGCTGGGAAGTAAATGTGTCTAATAATAGGGAAACAATTGTATAGATATTAGTAGTTTTCCAGATATTTACTCAGGGACCAAACTGTCTTCAACTCTTCATCTCTATTTTTCAAAATTTGACAAGTTACATAACCTGCATTTTGAAAAGGGATTTTTGTTTATAAAAACAGTCAAACACAAAATCTTTTCTACTTCCAGCACCCATCCTTATTTTGCTATGCAAGCACCATAGGAGTAAAAAGAACAAATTGTTTGATTTGCATAATTGTTGCTCTAAACACCACCAAACATAAGTACCTCATGCAACTATTATAAATTTAAAGAGTATTCTCATGATACACTCTAGCCTTTGTTACACAGCTATTTTACTTGGCAAATCTTCAGCCTTGGCCTGGTTTATTTCTAAATAAAACATCTCTGCCCCAGCCTTTTGCAATAATCTAAATTGGACCAACACTGTTTTGTTAAACAAGGTTCTGTACCTAATTCCTTCTTTAATCCTTAATAATAATAATAGTAATAATAAAATAATGCAGATGGGAAGAATTACAGTTGAAAGCACAAGAATAACACAGGAAGCCATTGCTTGAACTGTTTTGAGTAACCTTGGAGACATATGTGACATATAAGATCCATGTATAATGTGTATAATGTATATACGTTGATTCAGAATAATATTTTGGGAAATTTTTACTTGGTTTTCATTTCTATCTGTCCATTTCATACTATAATATAGTGTTCTTGCACACTGAAGACACCATGCTGCATCTGCACTACTGGACCTAAGAGCACTTGCCAGTTGCCTTTTTCAGCTGCAAGCTTCTATGCTTCATAGGGTCAAATATATAGAAATTGCACCCATTTTTTCTTCCAATCTTCACACTTTCATTTCCGTGCAAAGAAACCACTTCTGCAGGCTCTGAAATGGATCAGCAGCATACTCCAACTCAGAATTTAGGTCCCACCATAGAGAAGGCAGTCAGACATAAATCACTAATTTACATATACTTCTCAATTTCCACTTCTGCTCATGCTAACTATCATGGATCATTAATCCTTTACTGCTAGCCATCAATATTTAGGGTCTTTTTTAATTACTTAAAACGGAAGTAATTTCACAATGATGAATTTTACTGTCTGAAGCTTGAAAATCTCCTTTGTTTTATGACATTTAAACATTTCAGATATATTGATACTCAAATATTGAGACAAAAGGAATTTTCAGTTCTTTGGCCTCTATGAAAGGTGGGAAGTATCCTGTAAGAGTGGAAGGGAGATAGAGGTGTGAGAAGAACATGCTCATAACACATGGGAAGGCAAAATGGCAAGCTGCCTGCCTCTAAATAGGTTTCTTCTGAAAGCTCTTCAGTCCTGCCCCAGCAACTAAAGTCCACAGGCCTCCAGCACCACTTTATGAATGGTACTATGGGCCAGGGCTTTTGTCTGGATAATTCCAAGCAACTAACAAATATACCATACGTAGATGCTTTCACATCTGCAATGCAAAAAGAGCTTCCTGAAGCTAACTTCCACCCTTTGGTGGTGCTTGTGGCACCAGCCCCTTGTTTTTGAAGAGGCAAGGCCAGCAGCAGGAGTGCTGTTACCTCCCAGGGGGTGGCCAATCTCCTGCCATCACTGAGGGAAGCGAGAGACCTTGGTGCCAGCTGCAGCCTTGTTTTGTGCAGCACCCCGTGTCAAGGCATTCAGGTACTGCAGTGAAATTGAGTTAGGAATGAACATGCCTTTGCAATCAGCAAAACAGTTAAAATCCAGAGATTTGAGAGGGCAGGGTGTTCAAAAATTCCAACAGACACAACCACATTGGTTATACTCAGGTCATAGTCTAAAGCTTCTCAAATACAATTATTAGAAACTTCACTTTTTAAATAGAAAAATCTTCATGTCATGAAACTGTCAACCTAGAATACTGCAACTGGTAATTCTTTCCTAATTGTCCAGTTTGAAATGAATGAGGCTGATTGGGTCCTTTAGAAGGCTAAAAAACCCTACATTTATTAAATGTAATTTTAAAAATCTTTTTTTAAATTTGAGACATGATAACACAAACAGCTGACGTGCAGATTTTGAGTCTTTTCAACAGTTTTCACTAACAGAGCCTTACGAGGCTGATAGGGTCCTCTTAGAAGGCAAAAAAAAGTGGAGTGTTTTGCTAGTGAGCTTGAAAAACTACATTTTTAAATGTAATTTTAAAAATCTTTTTTAAATTTGAGACACGATAACACAAACAGCTGACGTGCAGATTTTGAGTCTTTTCAACAGTTTTCACTAACAGAGCCTTACAAATGGCTGGTTTACAAAGCAGTTTACTATGTATTTGTGGAGTGTGGTCCTCCTGCCTGCCTTTGAGTAGATAACTCTAACCCCAGGCATTGCTCTGCCTTTTAGCATTCAGCTCCTGCTGCTGCAGTCTCTCCATACATCGTAGTGCCACAAGCAAGCCAAACATTACTTTCCCTTTTTTGGCAGCCCTTTGCAGATGTATTGCCACTAACTGCTCATGATAGATCACCATTAATTAAGGCCACATAGTCACATGACCAGAAACGTGTGTTCATTTTTATGAAATAAATGCACCCAGAATCACAGTTACCATGACAGTGCTACATTAAACAGTGCAGTTTCTTCCAGGATTGTCACAGCAGGGGAGAAGTTTCCACCCCCACCCGGGGTCCTCCCAGTTGCTGGAAGGTCATGCCCCCATTCCAAGCCTCAAACCACAACAATTAATTAAGGCCACATAGTCACATGACCAGAAACGTGTGTTCATTTTTATGAAATAAATGCACCCAGAATCACAGTTACCATGACAGTGCTACATTAAACAGTGCAGTTTCTTCCAGGATTGTCACAGCAAGGGAGAAGTTTCCGTAGCGATACGAACCTCCTCAAGCAGCCACTTCCCTTCAAGTCCCTGACAGATTCTGATCTGTTTTAGCAGAGGACTTGAGAGCCCTAATGGCTCAATGGTTGGACTTGATGATCTTGGAGGTCCCTTCCAACCTAAAGGATTCTATGATTCTATGATTCTATGAAGTTCAGCTCTGCCTTCAGGGAAGTCTCCAAGTCTCTTAGACACACAAGTACACTTTCAGGCACAGCTACACAAGTCTCCATGTCAATCTAGCTCCAGAGCTACTAGAGGATACCACACAACATAAGACAGCAAAGCTTAGAATTTCAGAGTCAAGGCAGATAATCAGCTCTGCCTTCCCCAGCCAGACCAAGCTCTGTGAGTGATCTGCATCTCAGCCTGAACCTTGAGTCATGCTCCAAAACAATGTGTACCATGCTACCAATCCCAGGCAGGAACTAGACCTTTCTCACCTCCTAGTCTTCAGCAGCAATGACATGATGGGAGCTGTCAAATGAGCAGTGACCTCTGGGACTGATGCTGAAGAACCTCCCGTGCTCAAGGCTTGCAGAACCTAGGTGGTAAAAATATTCTCCAGGTGAGATTAATGTGTTAGCACATGCAAGGAGACCTCACCTTCCATCCAGAACTTCAGAACATCTTTTGTGCTTGCTTTGGTCAGTGTCAATAATCAGGACAAATGGTCAAGGAATCTGAACTTGATAATGACTGAAAGATCGGTGGTAACTTTCAGTACAAATCATCACATTGATCTAAAAATAGTATTTAAAATGCAGTGTAAATTAATATATTACTTGAAATTCACCTTGCTGTGTCAATTTGTGTGCAGCAGTATTAGTAAGCTCATTTCTAAAACAAGCAAGATATCTTTACTCTTGTAGTACAGCAGGCAAATGATGAAGTTTTGAGTTTTTAATACAATCAACAAAGCTAATGTTTTCAGTTATTTTAGAGTTAAGTTTGGGCTCTATTTACATTTAAAATAGAGGCATGTTTTTCCCTATAAAAGAAGTACTTGGTTTTGGAGTTCCTTGTCAAACTAATACAGTTTTTTTTTTTTTTTTTTTCATTATTTCCTGAAGGAAAGAAATCATCTCTGCATAAAGGAATGCACCACTTAAAGCTTTACGTACAGCTTTAATAGTCAATACAGCTTAGTGCAATCCATTAGTTTGAGTTAATTTTAACTAAGGTGATTAGTGACTCAGTAATAATGAATTAGGAAGAAAAAAAGTAAATTTTTTTACAGTTTCCTAGGGCAAAGGAAATGAAACTAAGGTGAAACTTACAATACAGAAAACTCCAGCTCAGATTGATACTGCAGCGTCTTTCAGATTTGCCCCCTCACTGTGAGTTAGTCACTGTAAAAATGCTTTTGCCTTTTTTTGAGTCTTACACTCTTGCTGTTGCAGTAATATACACCTAGGTCATAGTGCCAGGAGCATTTCCTACCTTAGTTTTGCTGTCTTGGGCAGAGCAAGAGCAGCTAGCTCTTGCCAGTGTTTTTACCACCTCTAACTGCTGACTAGAGATCAGACACTGGTTTCATAAACCAAGATACCAATTCTGTTGGATGCTCTTAGGAAGGCATCGGCATGACCTGCCACAGTACTACACTGAACAAGGGAGTTTGTCTGCATCTCAATTAGCCAGAGCATGGTACCCATAGGGGGTGAGCAAATGCTTTAGAAGACCCACGTGAAAACCTGGAAGTAAATAAAGACAGGCAAAAATAACCATGTGAAAGCTTCTGGAACGGAAACTGAATGATTATGCAAGTTAAACTTAGAAAAATCTTTTTAAAGAACAAGTATTACTTAGGGCCTGGAGGCGGCTACATAAACCTTCTTTGGGGAAGGAAGAAAGGAAC